TACCAAGTATTGATCTTGATTCAAACAAAGTTTCAATAATTCCTAATTCTGATACAATTATTTTGGTAGCTTTTTTCAGCTGGCTATTATTAACTGTTTAAATGATTTCATGTATTGTTTGTCCATTCTGTCCTTCTTTGCTTTTTAACCTGTTGCCTGTAAAATAATTTATTGGGGCTAAGTGATCCACTTTGGAAAGGACATTTAATAAGATTGGTGTCACTACTGAAAATGTTCTACTTAGATTAAAACTTTCACCAAATTTCTGTCAACAGGAGAACAGGATCTCAAATGATTTGCATCTTCTCAAACATTTTCCATGAAGTGCTCTTTTCCATTGATACTTCAACGACTGAGCTTTTGACTATGCATGAATATATTATCTGACCATCTCCTTTATTGCTCTTATGTTTTAATTTTATACCATTCTGACATGCTATTATTAATCATAATGCCTAGATTTCCATGCTGAAACATTGTGCAATTTCAGAATCTAGAGCTATGGGAAATTTATACAAATGAATGTGCCTCCATGGAAAGAAATTCTTCCACATAGAAAAGCTCTAGCCTATCTTTCTCTGAGACTGCATTTTGATCATTTGAAGGGAGGTAGCCCAGAGAGAGATTTACTAATTCCAGTACAATGCAAACCTTAGACAAATGAGATTTCAGACAACCTTCTATAAATCAGTATCAATTAATGCTGAAAGTATTGACATTATAGTATCTCCATAAGCTACACAATTTCCCTTTTTATAGATTTTTACCAGCTAATATCTGTAATTATTGGCATGTCATTAAAGGTCAGTGTTATGCCTATTCCAACAGAAAAAATGAAAAAAAATATAAATGACCATTTTAAAAAAGTAACTTATCAAGGTGTACATATAAGTAAACTGATAATCTACTTTGGTGCTGCCAGGCCATCTGGAAGATTGTTATTAAGCCTGGCTCAGAAAAATGGTTTCCTACAAGTTACTCTTGGTGGATTGTGCATTTGATCACAACTACAACTAAGTACTGCATGGATGGTCAAGAGCCTCCCAGTTTTGAATATTGCAGAATTTATGGATGTGGTGAATTATATTCCTTGAGGTTCTAAGATATAAGGTAGAATGTAAGTGCTATGTAAACTTAATGTGAGACTTAATTCCAATCTACTAGTCCTTGGCCCTACAATGATAGATATATTGAAAGCCATCACACTTGCACTCATTTTGGAAGCACCAAGGTACTCCCGGGTTGAAAAGATTGGCTGGTGACATCACCTTTCCCTGGGAGATGCCCAGTTGGGGGCCCTTTTCATGTCTCCAGCAGAAGCTGGAGTGAATGATGGGAGCTCACTCCATCCTACAGGAGCACTTGGGTTTCAAACACAGGCATGCTGTTTGACAACCCAGCATCTTAACCACATGAGCCACCGTGCTCTGGAGATAGGCCTCATTAAATGTGATGTGACAGTATTAATCTGGAAGTTTGTATTTATGTATTTATACAGAAACTTCACACATAAATATATAACACTAGGGAAATAGGATACTTTTGGTTTCTAACTCTGCTGATTCCAGTCTAAAATGCAGGAGTTGTTTTGATAGTTTGCTGACAAATTCCATTTTCCTCTCCTTGTAACTCTTCCCTTATGTTGGAGCCAAGATGAAGCAAATATGGCCAAAATTTACCAAATGAAAGAACAATAAACCAATTGGTATTATTTTCTTCCAAGTGAGCTACAGATTAAAAAAAGAGGATGAACTCACATATAAAGGCCAGCTACTTGTTTGTTTTTATTGTTTGTCCATTTGAGAGAACAATTGCCTTGAAATGGAAGTTGCCTGTCCATGGAAACAATATACAGGTTGTCCTTGATTTATGACAATTGAGCCCAAAAATTTCTGTTGCTAAGTAAGACAGTTGTTAAGTGAGCTTTGCCCCATTTTACGACCTTTCTTGACACAGTTGTTAAGTGAATCACTGCAGTTGTTAAATTAGTAATATAGTTATTAAGTGAATCTGGCTTCCCCATTGACTTTGATTGTCAGAAGGTCATTAAAGATGATCACATGACCCAGGACACTGCAAACATCATAAATATGAGTTAGTTGCCAAGCATTTGAATTTTGATCACATGACTGTGCTGCAACAGTTGTAAATGTGAAAAATAGTCATGGGACACTTTTTTCAGTGGGGTTATAACTTTGAATGGTTACTAAATGAACTACTGTAAGTCAAAGACTACCTGTATAGCAATATTGCATGCAATTACAAGCATGTAGTCATAAGATAATTTGATCACTAGGCAGGTCATTGCATGAAGAAGCCAGGACTGCATCTTCATCTTTTTTTCTTACACATTAAACAAAATATAAAGTAAGGATAGAAGAATCATTCCCTCTCTCTTTACTCCTAGTCACATTTCACTGCACTGTGTGGCATCCAAGAAGACTATATGTTAATCTATAGTGGCAAAAAAATCTGGTACTGCCTTTCAGTTAATCAAATTATCAGATTCCTGATCCATTGCATCCAACAATTTATTCCCATTTCTTTTGTTTTGAAGGCAGCGTAGGTCAAAAGCAGTGATTGGTATCTGTATTTTACACTTTTCTGTAAGAACAGAGAACAATCCTCAACTCTGTCATAATGGAGAAGAATTGTATCATGTATCTGCCCCTAAGTTATTTGATATACGAAAGAGATCTCCCACAATGATGGCAAGTGGACCCCAGAAAGTAACAGAATGTAAATGAATGCAAAAATTAATCTCTAGAGAAAATATGGTCCTCCAAGAATCCAGAAATGTAGAATAGGACTAAGCAATCTTATACCTTTGAGAGTTAGTTCTTACATGGAAGAAATCCTTATAACAGATCTGGACATTACTTGGCCTCCCATCTAAAGGAAGGTGTCATCAAATCTTTTCTACAGCTTGGATAGGAGAGTATGTTGCAAAAATTGAGCCCTGAATTTCTTTTATATAGGATTTGAATTTTATATACTGCAGTTATTGGAATATTTTTCTATATAACTAAGTTGTGGATTCTTGTGAACCCATTAAATACCTCCAGTCCAATTTATCAGGAAGACACCTGATATTGCCCTCATATGTCAAGACAATAGTGCACACAGTCCCTAGTAATTGGCAAAGCTGATTGGAATAGGTATCTGGGAGCCCAAGGCTTCCTATTCCTTGTGTGGATAAAATCTTAACACTCAAACATGTTAGTTCTATCTGAGGCCATTGCGTAGTTTAAGAAATCATCGAAGTATCTCCATGCAAACACTGTTCTCATCTTTAGCATTAATGGAGAGAGTGCTCCACGTTTTACTTATTCGTAAAAAATAAATCTACCACTTCTTAACATGTTTACAATTACACACAGAGAAATATTGATGTGTACAAATAGCACATATTCTGATTGATATAGAGGTTTTGCATTTATAGAAAGCAGTGTGTGAAATAGTATTTGTTTTAATAGAGCTCTCAAGATTGCATTAAATTATCAGAATAAGTGTGCTACGAAAAAGAATTTCACATCACGGAACATAAGGCAAAAACTTCAAGTCTCATACTAAGACCCCTTAAAGCAAATAAAAGCAACAAGAGAATGATTCAATTCAGAACTTGGGAAGAAATTAATAGAACTAGAGGTAGAGGATGCATTTGCTAAGAACTTGGAAAGCAAGAGTTCCTAAAGCAAATATCCAATTTTGTGTACAACGATCTCTCAGTACACATATTCATAAGAAGTGATTCAATATACTATAAAATTTGAAAATCATTTGGACTTCGACACCCTTACAGCTTGCTTCATTCATAAGCACATCAGGCTCCTTCGTTACTAATTTACCAACTGACACAGGCTTAGCCGCTTTTAATGTTTAATCTATTATTAAAGGTTAAAATTACCCATGATGTTTAAGGCAAATGAGACTCTAGAATAAAAGAGAGATGTATTCCAGCTTTTCTTTCCAAGCAGCCCAAAATGATGACATTTTGCCAAATAAATGAAAACTGTGGTACATTTTTATCCTGTGCTTTAAAGTACACATTACCTGATCTCTGCTCTGTTAAGAGAATATTATTATGAGGAGTCTGCTTTATGAATGATTTCAGGGAACAATTCATTCAGGAACTAGAAGCCTACAGAAGTGCAGTAACACTAGATATATGCCAGAATCATTTCCTTTGGACTGCTCTGTAGACATTTCATGCCTATGTTTCATTTCCTTTGTCTCTCACTGCTCTTGATAGACACTCTGCCATGGGAGATAGGTTTCAAAGGAGTTTACATGTGGCTGAATTTATTATGTGGCACTGTGGCTTCCTTTCTTTTAATCCAACTCCAAACTGAGAGACATAAGTGCTGCATTATGCATCTGGAGATGAATTTGGTACGTGGGTGCTCTCTGGAAAGGTGTGAAGACTTCTCCCACTTACACACCTCTTAACAGCACAAGCATCAGAAACTAATCAAACAAAGCAATGGGGCACCTTGTCCAGAAAACTAGTACAAACACGGCTTTCCCTTATGACCTACTTATGGTAACAATGCAATACCGGAGCAATAGTGAAGGAGGGTTGTGGTGTGCCTTCAATCCACTTATAACAACCACCTCAAAGCTGGGCAAAATGTCAATAAGGAAGGAAGGAAGGAGGCAAAGACTCGGTGACAGATTTTGAACGTTCTCTCTAATCCTCGAAATATTGATCTACACACCCCCTCCCCACCCCCACCCCCAAGTACAGAGAACAGTTATAAGAAGAAGAAGCCGACTACACGAAGGATACATGTAACGGACGAGAGCCGATTCAGAAAGCAAATCCTAGCTTACAATAGATGGAAAGCGGGCATTCCCATGCTGAGCGTCCTGGAAGAAAATTGCCCTGCAAAACTGAATGGAAAATCGATACGAAAGGGTTAAAAAAAAAAAACTTCCCCCAAGCACCACCTAGGAGCTCTTTCGCGGCAAGCAGTCCGTGCACCCAAACAAAAGCTTACCTTGCTCCCAGAGAGGTTCAGACGCGCATGAACAGCAGCGGGCTTTCTTTGACTAAATCCTCAAGCCAGATGCTCCCAACCCAGCAATTTGTTAAATAGGAAGTGCACTGCACACCAACCTGAGTGGCTCCCCGCCCCCCAAGCCTGCAAGGCAGAGCCCGTCGTGAATTGCACACCTGCTCGCTCGCTCGCTCGCCCTCCGCCGCTGGTGTGGCTGTTCCTCGACTAGCAGTCGCCCTGGGCAAGATCAATATGCTGGGGGTGGGAGGTTAGGGAGGGAAGGAGGGGGAGGGCAACACCCTTCTTTGGGGGGTCACCACTTCACGCTTGCAGGGCAGCGGGCGACCGCTCGAGACAACATTGCGGGGAAGAGCCTCGCCGTCACTCCCTCCCTTTTTCCCCTCAAGATGCGCCTCTAAGCGCGCGCCCCAGCCTGCAAAACGCGAAGTGCCCGAGAGACGTAGAGCGGATCACGCTGCATTCCACCCTTTCTCCCGGTGAGCGAGAGCCCGCTTGTCAAAATGGCAGCTTGGAGACATTCCGCGCTCTACTAAGGAGGCGCGGATAGGCTTGTTTCTTCAGCTTCCTCGCAATAAATCACACAAACACACCCACACACACACCCTTTTTTTTGGTGGTTGTTTACTCCGCGGTAAACATAGCATAATATGCTACGGTCTCCTAAACCCCCCCAACCCCCAGCAAAATGGCTGGTCCTTTCAGCTCTCCTGTAGTCAGCTCATTGGGTTCCATGAGCTTTCTGTAGTCATGGCAACAACCAACGGACAGATCTCCCAAGCATGGTTGATCATGTGCAGCTTGTCCCCCTCCGCTCCAGTCAACGTCGAAGGTAAAATGCGGCTGGGCTTCATTGTTACGCGGGGAGAACGCGCACAGACCTTTGCGGCGCGCGCTTGGTCTCGCTGGCTCTAAAGCGGGGCAGAGTCGAGCAATAGCCTCGCCTGCACGACACCGTTAGAGAAAGTCAGTGTAAGCCAATGGAATGATCTCTTTTCCTTTCTCCTCTAAAACTGGTCTGTGGCTTTAAAAATATTTAGAAAGCCATTTTGATTATTTATATCGAAGTGCACCTGTATGCATTAGTAGGGAATCTGAATCGGTGCAGTACTACAACTCCCATCCCTGATTCTAATCATGCTGGCAGGGGAAGGTAAAAGGAAGAGCTGTCCAGCCCTAACCTATAGGTTACTTGCTGTAATTGAAATATCAGTATCTGTAGTAACAAGGCTTTGTTAATTCAGGAGATTAATACTTAGTTTTCTAGCCTAAAAGGAATAGAGCAAGAAAACTTTATCTTTTCTTTCTGCAGTAGCTAGGTCTATTTGTCAGAATATATTATATTTTAAATGCCACCACTGTTTCCTAGAAAGGTTTTAATAGGTGATCACAGATAGTAGACACAGTGCAAAATGATAATAATTTCCAAATGAGATTGGACCAGCAACATAAACAAAGCCAATATCAAATGACATCACAGGTAGTATAGAATACACCATTGTACAGGTAGGCCTCAACTTACGGCCTAAATTGAGCCGAAAAATTTTATTGCTAAGTGAGACAGTTGTTAAGTGAGTTTTGCCCCATTTTCCGACCTTTTTGCCACAGTTGTTAAGTGAATTACTACAGTTGTTAAGTTTCTAAGATGTTAGTTAAGTGAATGCGGCTTCCCAATTGGCTTTGCTTGTCAGAAGGTCACAAAAGGTGATATGACCCCAAGATACTGCAACCAGCATAAATATGAGTCAGCTGTCAAGCATCTGAATTTTGATCACATGACCATAGGGATGCTGCAATGGTTGTAAATGTGAAAAATGGTCATAAGTCACTTTTCTCAATGACGTTGCAACTTTGAACGGTCACTAAATGAACTGTTGTAAGTCAGGAACTACCTGTAATTCATAAAACATAGTTTATGGCTTAGTGGTACATGAGAACACAACTACTGCATTCAATTCAAGAAACCTTGATAGGAAGAAGTAATTCTGTATTATATAGGAAGCCAGGTTCTTCCACAAAATATATAACAATCTCTAATACTGCCAAAATGTTGAGGCAAAGTGGAGATATTTGTAGGAAATCTGAGAAATTCGGACATTTATAGAACATATTGGAGCAGTCAGTGTTTCTCAACTGACCCAACTTAAAGATGTATGGACTTTAACCAGTGGTGGGATTCAATTTTTTTTACTACCAGTTCTGTGGGCGTGGCTTGGCTTGGTGGGTGTGGCAGGGGAAGGATACTGTAAAATCTCCATTCCCTCCCCACTCCAGGGGAAGGTTACTACAAAATCCCCATTTCCTCCCAATTAGCTGGGACTTGGGAGGCAGAGAATAGATGGGGGCAGGGCCAGACAGAGGTGATATTTACCGGTTCTGCAAACTACTCAAAATTTCCGCTACCAGTTCTCCAGAATTGGTCAGAACCTGCTAAATACCACCTCTGACTTCAACTCCCAGAATTCTCCAGCCAGTGTCTGAAAGTTGCTGTGGTTGAGAAGCCCTGTATTACAGTAGTGAATGTCTGCATCCAACTATGCAGAGGAACATTGTGCAACCCTTGCAGCTAACTGTTTAATTTAGATCTCAAAACAGTGCTCCTGCTATCTTATGTAATTTGAAAAGTGAAATGGAGAAGGTCTTGGTGTTTTGCAAGTTTTAAGTTAGATTTGTTGCTGATTAGACAAAAATGTTCTCTATTTGTGATGTCAAACATTTTTATAATGTAGATACTGACTGCACAATGGGATTGTGCTAAATAAAAAGAAGCAGGGTCAAAATTGAGGCTGACTGCAGGTGAATGCATCATTTTTAATTTCTGGGTAAAAATCAGCTATTGCGAGCTTTAAATGAACAGCAGGAAATAGATGCTTTTATTTTTTTGTTAAAAATATTTATTAAAATATTTTTAAAAATTTAAAAGAACCACAGGATTATAAAGGAAGAAGTAAAAAAAAGAAATTGTAAAAGAATAAAAGAGAAAAATGAAGGATAAAAAAAGAAAAAGACATCTAAAGAAACAACTTTCAATCTTCTGTGCACTAATTACACACATGTCAATTGCTATTTCCACCCTCCCATGCATATCATGGTTCCTTTCTTCCCATAGGCAAATATTTTAAATTCACAAATCCAGAAATCATCAGTTCATTTTATCCATTTTTAGCAAAAAGTTCATTAAGGGTTTCCAGTAGTTGTAATTCCCTTCTTAATCAAACTCAGTTTAGCCATTTCTGAAAACTCCGCTATCTTCACAATCAGTTCCTCCATCACTGATCTTTCTGTAGCCTTCCATCTTTAGGAAATAGATGCTTTTAAGTAAAATAAATATTATAATCTTATCAAACTGAAAGAGAGATATATTTTCCATTGTACTTTGTTTAAAGGACAAAAGACAGGCAAGACTTAAATGCTTTGTTTTATGTTTATTCATGTTTTATGATGTCATAAGTGAACAAATATATCACACAGAAGCTATGGTAGATAACAAGAACATGATGATGTGATATAGTGTTTAACCCTTTATCTCTTTTTGAATGAGGGCTAACCTAGATGTGGCTACCTTTAATGTTCTTTAAGATGAAAAAATTAGGCAATTTTTGCAATAAATCTGTCAGAGATGATTAGAGAAACATTTTATGCTACTTATATTCAGAAACTATATAGAAAAATAGATATTTTGTATTGTTTAAGAGACAATTTTGGATTGGAACTTTAGCCGTGAAAGTTTAGTATGCTGTCCTATAACTTATACATAAGTGGAATCTACTTCACGTAACAGTAGTAAAGATAAAACTCTAGTTGCAAATACCCTCCAATTCCATGAAGAAATATTTATTTCTGTATTTTTATCATTGGTGAAATATAAAAATTGTCACTACAGGTTCTGTAGGCTTGGCTTGGTGGTCATATGATTGGGTAGGTGCGGCTTGGCAGTCATGTGACCAGGTGGGTGTGGCTTGGACATGTGGCCAGGTAGGCGTGGCCAACTTGACATCACTCACGGTCCCTCACTGTTAGAGCCAGGCGATGTCATGGATTGAGTAAAATGAGGTGAAACTCACTTAACAACCCTCTTCCTTAGCAACCAAAATTTTGGGCTCAATTGTGGTCATAAGTCAAGGACTATCTCTGCCGTCCTATGCATGGCAGCCTTGTCCTAGTAAACTCCTTCTCCTTTCTGCAATTTTCCTCTCTGTTAGAGGCACCAAAATAATCCAGACGATGTAAGGTTTCCTGCTGCACCAGAAGGTTGGACTAGATGACCTCCGAAATTCCTTCCAGCCCTAGATTGCGTCTTCTGAAGCCACGTCTAGTGCCAGGGTTTGTGGTGCTTCCTTCCAATTCTTTCTCTCTCTTTCCCTTCCTCTTTCTTTCTTTCTCCTTTTTCTTTCTTTGTCTCTTTCTCTTTCTGTCTTTCTCTTTCTTTGTCTCTTTTTCTTTCTTTGTCTCTTTCTCTTTCTGTCTTTCTCTTTCTTTGTCTCTTTTTCTTTCTTTCTTTGTCTCTCTCCCTTTGTTGTGGCCCGCCAGCAGCCTGCGCGGATTGTGGCTGATCCTGACGACGAGGAGGCTGGTGTGGTGTCGCGCCAGCAGCCTGCACAGCCGGTGCTCGCGTTGGACAGCGAGGAGGCTGAAGAGGATGTGGTGCCAGAGGCAGGGACTCAGCCAGGGCCTTCAGAATCTCCAGAGGCTCCTTCAAGTGGAAAGAGCGAAGTGGAGGAGCCTCTCCTCAATGCTCGAGCACGCAGGGCTGCCAAAAGGCAGGAGTGACTACTCAGGAGAAGGAGGTCTCCTTGAGAGTAAGGCTTGAGGATAATTGGCCACTCCCTTAGCCTATTTAAGTCACACGGGGTTAGTAAGTTTTTTGCTGGAAACAACTTATAATTATCATCAGAGCATTTTTGGAAAAGTCTTATCGTATTTTGTTTTCTGGGCTGGTTGCCAATCTTTGTCGGCCTTTGGTTTATTCTTGCTACTTAATAAATTTGATAAGGACCGTTGGTGTGTGTCAATATCCTTGGAAATCCGGAGCTGGGGCAGAACACTCTTCCTCTTTCTTTTTCTTTCTCTTTCTTTCCTTCTTTCTCTTTCTTTCTTCTCTCTCTCTCTCTCTCTCTCCCTTCCTCTTTCTTTCTCTTTCTTTCTTTCTTTCTTTCTTTCTTTCTTTCTTTCTTTCTTTCTTTTTCTTTCTTTCTTCTCTCTCTCTCTCTCTCTCTCACACACACACACACACCTGGTCTGAGCAGTGATGGCTGCAGGAGAAGGAAGAAAGTGCTCCAGGAGGGCAGGCAGCCCGGTCCGGAAGTGGCGCATCCCCAGTCATGGGCTGGATGCAGGCAGTGGGACCCAAGGCGGAGGGGAAGGCAAGCAGGCAGCAGTCACCCAAAGGCCCCACAGAAGCTGAGAGCGCCAGGCCCAAAAAGCGAGTGAGCCTCTCTATGTTCCCCTGAGGCGATTCTTTGGCCGAGCGCAGCGGGTCTCCCTTCCCCACCACCAGGGTTGGCCTTACATCTGCCCTCCCTCCCGGGGCTGCCCATGCACACTGCAGCGGAGCAGGAGTCTAGCCCAATCGGCAGCGGCGGAAGAAAGAAAAAAGTGAGCAGCCCCTCTCAGTCCCAGCGCAACAGTTGCGTCTCCCCCAAGGGCCAGCAGGAAGCAACTCTCTTCCACGCAAAGGCTGGATTCCCACTGCAAGCTACAAGAAAATCTAATCGGTCCTCGGGTGGGATGGGGAGGGTTTCTCTTCCTTCCTCGTGAATTAAAAACCCACATTAGAGCTGCGGAGGAGGAGGAGGAAGAAGAGGGCTTGCTGCACAAAAGCCCCAAAGGCCG